TTTCATTTTTTAAAGAATTTGTTTATTTTATGTGTTTTGCCTGCATGTATATATGTGCACAGAGATTAGATGAGGGGACCAGATCCCATAAACCTGGAGTTATAGATGGTTTGTGAGCTACCATGTTGTCTTAGTTTGGGTTTCTATTGCTCTGAAGAGATACCATGACCATGGCAACTCTTGTAAAAGAAAACATCTAATTGGGACAGGCTTACAGTTTAGAGATTTAGTCCATTGTTGTTATGGTGACATGACATGGTGCTGGAGAGGTAGCTGAGAGTTCTACATCTGGATCTGAAGGCAGGAGGAGACTGCCTCATTAAGGCCTACCTTGAGCATGTAAGACCTCAAAGCCTGCCCCCACAATGATGCATTTCCTCCAACAAGGCCACACCTCCTAACAGTGCACTGCCTATGGGTAAAGCATTCAAACACATGATTCTATGGGGGCTATACCTATTTAAACCACCACACATGTGAGTGCTGGGAAATGAACCCTGATCCTCTGGAAGAGCAGCCATTGCTCTTAACCATTGATGCATTGCTCCAGACCCCTGTCTGTTTTTACTGTTTTACAATCTAAATTAAAAATATTAATCTAGTCATGGTGGAACAGACTTGCAATCAGGAGGCTGGGGCAGGAGGATTGCAAGCTCAAGGTCTGTCTGGGCTACTAAGTGAGTTCAAGGCTGGCCTGGGGAACTCATTGTTAGAGCACTTGCTTAGCATGCTTGGGATCCTTGATTCAATCCCCAGAGGCAGAGGCAGGTGGATCTCTGTGAGTTCGAGGCCAGGCTGGGCTACAGAGGGAGATCCAGGACAGGCACCAAAACTACACAGAGAAACCCTGTCTTGGAAAACAAAAAGAAAAAAAAAAGGAAATGGAGGTGATGTACACTGTGTTCTCTGAGGTGTAGACAGGTCTGTTAGTAAGCCAAGTTGAGCTGAGAAACATGACCAGGCAAGATAGGTGTCCTCTGCCAGACCAGCATTAGGCACAGGGCTGGGGGTATCAGGTGACAGGGCCCAGCACAAATCCAGGGAGTAGAGTGGGCTGTGTG